ATTCTTCACATCTGATCCACTCTGGGATGGTAAGCTTTGTCGTTCTCTTGAAGCATCTTGTTGCAATGCTCCAGGACTACCATGGTTTCACAGAGACTATGGTAACACCACCACTACTGACTATATTGAGTTGAGGGTCTGTGGAGATCAAGGAGGAGAAGACTCTCCCTTTTCTTTAGCTGAAATATATGTAAAATAACTTATAAGAATTAGTATTTAAGCTTCTGTTGCTTTAGGCTTTAACTTTTAATTTTTGCTACACCTGTTATTGATATTATATTTCTTTTCCCTTTTTAAAAAATGCTACAGTTTAATAAATGTAAAGACCCCATTTCAAGCACTACAAGAATACAGTGCTAGCATTCAATCATATATTATGCATCATAGTACATGTTCATGTTTATGATAGTAATTCATTGTATTGTATTCCTCAATCTTTTAAATGAAATCATGAAGTGATGTAGAATGGTTACTTGATATGAGAGATACAGTAACAATGCACCATGAATAGTTACGCCCACCCTCAAATCCAGTAAACAACAGCTCTTCACTTCTTTTAACCAACTGCACTAAGAAATGGAGACTGATGATGATACCAAGAACTTTTATGAGGTAGAGCAAGAGGTTTCTGAATATGATGGAAAGGATGACTTCCCTCAGCGACCAATAGGCAGTCTACAGATACATGATACTATATCTTCTATAGGAAAGAAAGCTCTCTTTGTTCTCCTTGGAGTACAAGTCTTCATAATCCTTATCCTTATAATACTACTGGGTATCAATGGTGTTACACTAACACACTTGAATACAGTAGATATGTGTGATAGTACTGGAGCTAGTGTAGGAGCTAGTACTGGAGCTAGTACTGGAGGCAATACTGCTGATGTATTGACTAGTACTGCTTTTCAAGATCAATTTGATCGGTTCAATTCTACATTGCAGGATCAATTTGATATGCTAAATAATACAATGCAGAATCGATTCAACCAGCTCTTCAACATGACGAAAGATTCCTCGATGAAGATCAATGATATTGTAGACTTTACTGATGGATCTGTTAATTCAACTGGTAACATTGAGCAGATATTGAAGGTCACTGGAGATTCAGCTGGAATGCTAATGAATGTTGTTAATACACTATCTACCATTGAAGGGAACAGTGTTACCAGTAGTGGAGCTATTAATGATATACTAGTGATTGTCGATCAACTGCTGGGACTACAGAATGCATCTTCTCTGTTTAACTCTATCCAACCAGTCTCTTGTAAGGATATCAAGGCAGTCCTACCTAACAGTCCTTCTGGTTACTATCATGTTAACAGTCATACCATTTACTGTAATATGGACACACTCTGTAATGCTACTGGAGGATGGACAAGACTAGCATATCTGGATATGTCTGATGCTACACAGAACTGTCCTTCTGGGTTTAGACTGTACCAGTCAGGAGGAGTTAGAGCTTGTGGTAGACCAGTAACAGGCAGTGCTAGCTGTAGCTCTGTTACATTCCCATCTAATGGTATCAACTATACCCAGATATGTGGTAGAGTAACAGGATATCAATTTGGTTCCAATGATGCTCTTCATACTGGTAATGGCAACAATCACAACAATCTTAATGCTGATTACGTTGATGGTGTTAGTCTCACTCGTGGGTCTCCTCGTCAACATGTCTGGACATTTATGGGTGGGGTCTTCGAGAGCATCAACATCCCATCAAACTGTCCCTGCACTGCTGGTAGTCCACAAATTAATATAATACCTGATTTCATTGGTAATAATTATTTTTGTGAGTCTGGGAACCCGACTAGTTCCTATTATAACCAATTCTTCACAGCTGATCCACTCTGGGATGGTAAGCTTTGTCGTTCTCTTGAAGCAGCTTGTTGCAATGCTCCAGGGCTACCATGGTTTCACAGAGACTATGGCACTGCCTCTACTACTGACTATATTGAGTTGAGGGTCTGTGGAGATGAGGGTACAAATAATGAGGACACTCCATTTGGTCTTGCTGAGATATATGTAAAATAAGCTACATATTAACACTGTATATAGTAGTAACCAATCCCTACCTATTTCCATTTTGGAATTTTTTGAAGCTAAACATTTTATTTGCTGCTTTTATCTTTTTAAAAGATATAGTTATGCTGCTATTGAACTCAGATGTGTGATATTAAAACGTGTTTCTTATTGAACTACATGCAAGCATTGTCTCAGGCCACTGAGTGCCAAGGGTTTTTCATTTTTGCTCGTCAAAGTCCCTGCATGTACTGTAGTACAGGGCATTTTATCAAAAATGGCTAGAAATGAATTCTGCCTTTATACATGTACTTATTACAAATTTTGTAAATTGGATTTTGCTTGTTGTGGATTTCAACATTGAAGTGTTTGTCACTAACTTTTGTATGCTTTTATAAACACAAGTTCCATTCTTTTAATAACAATACCAAGAGAAATATATAATAAATAAGTTGAAACTTATTATCAAATATCAATCATTATTTTTAGTTTCAAACGTCGCTCGACAATTCTCATTGTATTTTCCAATGTACATGCATTGCATGTACACATCATTTTATTTTTATTATTGCACCTATTTTTTTAAAGTAACTGAAGTTGTTTAGAGATTTAGAACTAAAAATATTATTAGTTGAATTTGCTAAACAACAACACTTAAGATATGAATACAAATAGACACTAAGGAAGACTACAGTGTACATCTTATAACTCGCACTTGTATGGCTGTGTACAACAACACTGATACAACTAGTAGTTACCTGATTATCAACACTAGTCACTCAAGTATCCTCACTCTGTGACATGTTGAAATCATTTCTCTTGAGCTTTCTTTTATTCCACTGCTATTCAAGTACTGCCTTTAAGTCTATATTATTTTATGTATAATGATCTGTTCATTAGGTCAGAACAATTGTATGACCCTAACTTGTGGAGATATTGGAAAGTATTGGCCTAGTGCTTCAGCAGGTTATTATAAGGTTGTTGGTAAAGGAGGAGAAGCTTATAAAAAATACTGTAGTATAGAAGAATTGCATGGAAACAATAGATGTGGGTCGGGAGGATGGACAAGACTAGCATATCTGGATATGTCTGATGCTACACAGAACTGTCCTTCTGGGTTTAGACCGTACCAGTCAGGAGGAGTTAGAGCTTGTGGTAAACATGGTGGTGGCTGTGTATCAGTTCAATTCCCATCTAATGGTATCAGTTATTCTCAGATATGTGGTAGAGTAATAGGATATCAATATGGTCGTGTTGATGCACTCAACAATTACTACATTGATTCTCATTACGTTGAAGGTGTTAGTATCACTCGTGGGTCTCCTCGTCAACATGTCTGGACACTAATAGCTGGTCGAAGTGAATTGGATACTTCATCACGTTCATGTCCATGTAATAATGGTAATTCAGATATAGTGCCAGCTTTTATTGGTAATAACTACTTCTGTGAATCAGGTACTAATGCTAGCAGCCCATCAACTACTCTCTATACAGCTGATCCACTCTGGGATGGTCAAGGTTGTGGTTCTCTTGAATCACCTTGTTGTAATGTTCCTGGTATCCCATGGTTTCACAGAGACTATGGTAGCAATACCACTACTGACTATATTGAGTTGAGGGTGTGTGCTAGCCTTAGTTCTGAAGATAGTCCTGTCAGTTATTATGAGATTTATGTTAAGTAATAAAGTGTGTGTGTGTATGTGTGTTTCTGACTGTAGCATTATAACAATGCATTATATTTTAAAAGCATGTTATAATATTATTGATCTTAAGGTATAAGTCATTTCTCTATTAAATGAATAATGTACCAAGCAGTGAGCATGTTCTCAGCACATGCTCTAATGTAATAGGATACTCTAATGATGAATAATATCATCATCCACCCATCATATGATTATAACTACGTACGTGTTCTGCTCATCAAAACAATGGAGGTAGATGATAACAAGAACCTTTATGAGGTTGAGCAAGAATACGATGGAAAGGATGACTTCCCTCAACAACCAATAGGCAGTCTCCAGATACATGATACTATATCTTCTACTGGAAAGAAAACTCTCTTTGTTCTCCTTGGAGTTCAAGCCTTCATAATCCTTATCCTTATAATACTACTGGGTATCAATGGTGTTACACTAACACACTTGAATACAGTAGATATGTGTGATAGTACTGGAGCTAGCACTGGAGCTACTACTGGAACTGGTGTAGGAACCAGTAATGATGATCAAAAGGAGCAGCTTAACAACATGACTGCCATTCTTCTGGGACTACAAGACTCAGTCTCCAGCCAGTTGCTACCTTTAGCAAGAGATCAGTCAAACATGTCCAGTAATATCTACAGGATGACACAAAGCAGTGATGCTAAACTGGACATGATACAGGGAGATGCTGACAATCGTATGATGTACCTACTGAACCTCACTGACTCTGTGTATCAGATACTGCAGACCACT